AAATCCCACCATCGATGGCTCCACGATAGTTTCGCGCAGTTTGACGATCGCCTTCATCGACCTGCCCCGTCTAAGTCGGCCGCCGACTCTTATCGACGACGCTGTCGCAGCGGTCCTCTGCAGGTCGACTGACTCCGTCGACCTGCACCTTTGCAAATAGTTGGAGATACCTCCCGCGCACCCGACCACAAAGTCGGCTTTGCCCAAGTGAGGGCGGGGCCAACACCCAATTCTTGTCGACAGAAGCGAAATCAGCAACTGTAAGATTGAGACCGATGCAGGCAGAAACATTTGAAGTGAAAATGGCGGGGACAGGTTTGAAATAGGTTCCCGTGCCGCACGGTTTGAATCCGTTGTAATAGGGGAATGTACCTTTCAGAGTATACGGCTAGCCTAGGTCGTTTCACATTTTGTTGTATTCCCTATATAGAGACGATGCATGCATGCTTGTTACTATCTAAGTCATTTTACATTCACTTTGACCTGAGGTCAATACTTCTGCTGCAACACTTCCTACGAACAACCCTAAGCTGATTCCTGACAAAGTCATGTTTAGGATTGTAATATTTTTGAAGTGCGTTGTTAAGACATATTTATTGTCTAAAATAGGACAACTTAATGTTACTTGCATGCTAATTACATTTTGTTTTCGGAAATTCTTTGTAAAACAAGATATGTCAGGATCCGTCAATAATTTTTTTGCGCGAGCAGGAAAACCTGAAATCAGGGTCATGCAACACTCTTTTTTGTTTTTTTTTTTTTTGTTTTTTTTTCCTTAGTTACCATTTGCATGATCTGCTCTTAGTGTTTAGTACAAAACACGTAAAGCGAGTAACCAAACCCATAAAGTGCTTTTGTATTCCAAAGCTCGGACACCATCAAAGTTTCCCCACGGCAAGCATTTTTTGGGGGTGGATGGTGTTCGTGTGGGGTGAGGTCCCAGTTTCGACATGCGACGAAATTAGGCTTGCGACCAAGTTCGTCGGTTTTGCCTAACGGTTTTTGGACCAGAATGGTTTCGCACCCCATCAGAGCATGAAAACAACCAACGTCCAAATCTATTTAGTGGGCTTAGGAAAACAATTCACAAAAGGCTCATTGGTTGTTCTGGGCAGATTTTGCAAGGTTCGTGCCGGTCACAAATGTAAGCTGAAGTCTCCGTATCAAAGCTCGGAATTCCCCGATCATCCAGGTCGCGAATTTAAGTGCGCGTCATTTGCACGTCACCTGATAGGTACGTTCTCTTTGGTGTCAAGTGTTAAGAGAACTAGGCAAGAATGCTGCATTGAATGAAACAGTTGGGTACAAGTAGCAAACCCTACTTGGGGTTGTACCCCATATTGGCTACCCCACTACAGCCTACAAGCATAATACAGTTTAACACACCCCCATAGGCAAAGTGGGGGAGAACAAAGGGTCACAAGACCAGTCCAGCAAAGCAAAGCAAAGCCCAGGGTGGATCACAACGTCACCACACTCCGAGCACAAGTAAAGGCTACAAGGCCAGTTCACATGCAGTGCTAGATATAGTACAAGACAAGCAACACAGTGATCAAAGCCTAGCAAGCAAGCAACAAGATATATATAAAGTACAATACAAAGAATGTCAAGCAGTGAGCAAGTGAGGAAACGTGGACACAAGGCCTAAAGAAGTACAGTGCCGCTGATGATCACTAGGCGGGAGCGCCTTGGTGAAGATATCAGCAGTGTTGGCCTTCGAGTCCACGTACACAAGCCGAAGCTGACCGCGCTGCTGAAGCTCTCGAGCAAGAAAGTAGCGAAGAGCAATGTGCTTCGTCCTGTGCTCCAGTCTGTGCTCCTGACACAAGGCAAGAGCTGCCTTGTTGTCACCGTACAGAACTGGAGGAGAACTAGGCCGCTCTCCCAAGTCAGTCAGCAGGTAGGTGAGCCAGCGTAACTCCTGTGCAGCCATGGCTGTGGCGTAGATCTCAGCCTCACAACTAGAGCCGAGAACAGAAGAAGAGCGGGTGGACCGCCACGAGACAGAACCAGAGCCAAGGCTGAAGGTGTAACCCTGTGACGACCGCTGCGTAGCCAGGTCGTCCACCCAAGAAGCGTCCGAGTGACCAGTGAGGACAACTCTGTCGCGTCCTCCAAGCACCAGCCCCATGCCTGATGTACTGCACAAGTAACGCAGCACCCTCTTAGCAGCCTCCCAGTGCTCTCGCCTGTGTCTCCCAGGCGCAACGTAGCGAGCAAGGATGCTAAGTGGGTACGCGAGGTCAGGTCGCGTGCAAGTCATCAGGTACATGAGGCAGCCTACAAGCTCTGGGTACGGGCCACTCGGCTCTACGGACTCGTCCGAAGGTGGAGCTGAGAGCGAGTGGCTGGTAGCCAGAGGTGTGGCCTGTGGTGAGGAGAACTGGAAGCCGAAGCGCTGAAGGACCTGCTGCACCATGTGTGACTGAGTCAGGGTGATGGTGCGGCGAGCTCTGTCCCAGGTGATCTGCAAGCCAAGGTAGCTACGCAGTTCACCCAGGTCAGTGCAGGTGTGTCTCTTCTGCAGCTCCGACTTCACACGAGCGAGTGCCTCAGTGTCAGCAGTAGCAAAGACCAAGTCGTCGACGTACACGAGAATGTAGAACGGCGGCAGCGACGTGTCTGTGCGCAGAAACAGCGACGGGTCAGCAGTAGACGGCGCGAACCCAAGAGCCGCAAGTGTAGTCCTCAGTGTGTCATGCCACTCACGTGGCGCCTGGCGGAGACCGTAGACTGGCCGGCGGAGACTCCACTGGGTACCAGGGGGAAACGACCCAGTAAAGCCAGGTGGGCGGCGCAGCCAGATCTCCTCGTGCAGGCTGCCCTGCAGGAACGCTGTGCTGAAGTCAAGAGAGTGAAGCTCGTAGTTACGCTGAGCAGCAACGTGCAGCAGAACCCGAAGAGTGGTCATCTTCGGGGTGGGGGAGAAGGTCTGGAAGAAGTCAACCCCCTGACGCTGACTGAAGCCTCTAGCAACGTAACGAGCCTTGAAGACAGGCGGAGAACCTGGCGGCCGCTTCACCCTGAAAATCCACATGCCATCGACGATGTTCGCCCCAGGAGGGGGAACCTCGTCGACGTAGGTGCCTGTGGACTTCCAGGATGCCATCTCTGCGTCCATGGCTGTCTGCCACTGAGAGGAGTAGGGACCCGAGATCGCCTCTGCGTAAGTGCGCGGAGTGGGGATGTCTAGTGCATCCGGGTCTCCCTCAGGGGCAAGCAACCAGGCCACGAGATGAGGTACAGCAGCCGCAAGAGAGTCAAAGTCCTCCTGCCTGTCCTCAAGGACGTCCGTGCCAAGAGCACACTCACCCCCGACGGACGGAGGACAGACAGACGCAGACTCAGACTCAGCAACAAGGCTAGTAGCGTAGTCTAGACGACAGGCAGCAGCAAAGTCAACCAACTCAGCGACCAGAGCAGACGCAGCCGAGGACTCAAAGGTAGGGTCAGTGACAACAGTAGCTAGGAGACGCGTAACAGTAGGGTGCTCAGCACGATACCGGTCAGACTCAGGGTTCGGAACGGCAGGCAAAGAGGACGCAGGAGGAGACGGTAGAGGGACACGCTGAGGAGCAGTAGAGGGACGCAGAGTCATGTAGTGAGTGCCTGGGACAGGAGGAGGACGCTCACGACGGACACGACGACCAGTGCGAGCAGTACGAACAGGCGACGCAGGACGAGACTCAGGCTCACGACGCTCTGTAAGACCTCCTGTGGGACCAGCGTAAGGAGAGGGAGCAGGGAGAGGCGAGGTAGGCGGTAACTGGGACTGCGGCTGGACAGGCGGAGGACACTCTACGGAGGGAGGAGGACAAGGAGGAGGAGCCTGCCCAAGAACCTGCTGAAGGAGCGGTACGAAGTACGGCCGCGGCCGCGCAGCGTCTCCAGAAGCAGAAGAGACTCCAGCGTCCGGGTCCCCAGCACCAGCAGCAGCGCCACCGCTCGGGTCCTCAGCTCCAGTAGCAGCTCCACCAGGTGGGTCCGCAGCACCAGCAGCAGCGCCACCCCCAGGGTCCGCAGCACCGCGAGGAAGAGCACCCCCAGAGTCGGCAGCTACAACTCCGCTAGCACCGCCAGCTCCAGAGTCCCCAGCTCCAGCAGCTCCAGTCGTAGTGCTCCCAGAACAACCAGTCCCGGCAGCTCCAGTACCCCCAGCTCCAGCCGAGCCACCAGGACGGCGAAAGCGCCGGACGTACCAGTCACGAAGCTGCTGCGGTGTGAGAGACTGCTCAGCACCCCGAACCGGAGCACCCCCAGACGCAGCAACCCGAGGCTCCGTAGGCTCAGTAGCAGCACCCCCAGGCTCAGTACCCGCAGGCGCAGCACCCCCAGACTCAGCACCCCCAGACTCCGCACACGCAGGCTCAGCACCCCCAGTCGCAGCACCCCCAGGCTCAGCACCCCCAGGCGCCGAACTCCCAGGCACAGTACCCTCAGCTCCAGCACCCGTAGGCCCAGTACTCCCAGGCCCAGCACCCGCAGGCTCAGCACCCCCAGGCTCAGCACTCCCAGCAGCACCACCTGCAGCAGCACCTGAGTCACCTGTGACCTCGACAGGCTCAGCGACGGGAGGAGGGTCTACCTGAGAGACACCTGAAGGAGCAGGACCCTGAGGGGGAAGGGGGTCTACCGGAGGGGGACCAGGAGCAAGGAAAAGCGGCGGGGGAGGGAGGGGGGCAGTGCTGTCAGAATCCCAGCCACTAACCACTGGGATAAAAGGGCTTGTTTGTGTAGCGGGTGAGTGCGCCCATAACCCCCCAGGCCGCCGTGCCTGTAACCCTTCCCTAGGATCAATCGGGGATCACCAGTGGACCTCTGACACCCCCCCGCACTGGGATGCCCAAGGTGCACACACCGGGATTCGAACCCGAGACCTTCGCTCTGATACCATGTCAGAATCCCAGCCACTAACCACTGGGATAAAAGGGCTTGTTTGTGTAGCGGGTGAGTGCGCCCATAACCCCCCAGGCCGCTGTGCCTGTAACCCTTCCCTAGGATCAATCGGGGATCACCAGTGGACCTCTGACAAGTGCGGTAGGGGAAGAGACGGTAAAAAGGGACCGACTCGTCAAAGGTGACGTCCTGAGAGGCGAAGACCCGGCGCGAGGTGGGGTGGTAAAACTGCCAGCCCGGCGCGTCAGGGACAAAGCCAAGGAAGACACAGGGAAGTGTGCGGGAGGAGAGCTTGTCCGCGGACGTATCGCGGACAAGGGCACGAGCACCCCACACCCGGAAGCGCGACGCATCGCCAACCTCCCCCGTCCAACGCAGTGTGGGCGAGGTCTCCGGCAAGGAGACACGGGGCCAGAGGTTGAGCTGATGCGCGGCGTACCGGACAGCAAACGGCCACAGAAAATGGGGAGCCGCCGCGTGGACCAAGGAGGTACGAGCGACCTCCATGACCAGGCCAATGCGACGCTCAGCAACCCCATTCTGCTGTGGGGAGTCCGGAAGCGTGAAGGTCTGCTCGATGCCCTCCGCCTGACAGAAGGTCCTCAAGAGATCGGAGGAAAACTCACCACCTCTGTCAGAGTGCAGACGCAGGACAGGAAGATCCGTCCGGAAACGGCGGCGGAGCTGGAGACGAACTGTGCGGATCCAAGGGATCAGAACAGCAGGGACCTCACCCTTGGTGCGCAAGGGGAAGACCGTGGTGTAACGCGAGTAGTCGTCGACAACCAGCAAAAAGTACCGCTCACCGCCCTGGCCACGAACGCGGGCTGGGCCCCACACGTCCAGGTGGAGGGTCTGCAGAGGAGCCTCTGTCGGGGGGAACGAGGAGGAGTGAGGAGCGGCGCGCTGCCGCCCCTCGACGCAAGGAAGGCAAGGCGGCGCAGGCGAGGCAGGGAGGGGAGGGAGAGACCTGGGAAGACCAGACACAAGGCGGCGACGGTGCATGCCACGGAGGCGTGGCAAGGAGGGGTGACCCAGGCGGTGGTGCCAGAGAAGAGTCTGGTGCGACAGGGAACGACACTCACAGGCGTGGGCCACCAGACCTGACGCGGACACCTGACCGACAGCAGCGACCTGAGGAGACGCAGTGGTCAGTGTGTAGAGACTCGACCCCGGCCGACGGGTAAACGTAGCCAGGTGACGGCCGGTCCTGGAGCACGTGCAGATCGCCACACGCTGTCCTCCTGGGGTGAAGGTGTCAACCCACTGATCCTGGAGGACAGCGTTGCTCACCAGGTTCGTCGAGAACGAGGGGAGGTGGAAACCCGACAACGAGCCAGACGGAACCGCCGGACAAGGGAGCACAGTGGTGGACTGGGCAAGGACTGGGCCCCCAGAGGGGTCAGCCAAGGAGACTGGGACCGGTGCAGGAAGCGGTGTGAGCTCAGTACTGTCACGAAAGAAACAGCGGGAAGCACCTGAGTCAAGGGTGAAGGTGTGACAGGCCTCAGCCGGTGCGGTACCTGAGAGAGCAGTCTCTGTGGGTGCTGTACCTGAGAGAGCAGACTCGCAAACAGCCGGGACAGCACTGGAGGGAGCAAGTACAGGGGGCACCATACCGGAGAGAGCAGACTCACTAGTACCCAGGGCAGCGGGCTCTATACCTGGGTCAGGCGGCACACACAAGTAACAGTCTCCCTCGGCACTAACAGTCAATGCATACATGGCAGCAATAATAGCATCATAGTCAAGAGCAAAGATATCAACACCAGCCCTCATCAGCTCCGCCCAGCAGGGGCGCTCAACATCCTCGCCCATCTCCTCACGCCAAGCGTCGTCAAGGCGGGAGAAGCAGCGGTACGGGGTGTGGAACCTCCCACACGTCTGTCCCTTGCGGTCACCTGTGCGAATGACATAGGAACAGCGGCCATTGCCCCCCGACGTCCCACGCTGAGCAAGCCACTCACGAAGCTGCTGGGTCGTCTGGGGACGCTGCTGCTGCTGGGAGCCCTGTCCCGAGCCGGTGCCTCCACTCCGACCTCCGCCACCACCACTACCTCCGCTCCGACCGCCACCGCCGCCGCCGCCACCGCCGCCGCCGCCGCCGCCACCGCCGCCGCCGCCACCACCGCCACCGCTCCCTCCGCCGCCCCCGCCTCCGCTGCCGACCCCACTCCCACCAGCACTCCCGCCACCGCTCCCTCCAGCACCGCACCCCCCCACCTCCTCCCCCCCCAGCGCCACCCCCGCCACCCTTGCCCCCCTTGCCCTTGCCGGTGCGGCGCCTCCCACTAGGAGCAGAAGCAGCGCCAGCAGACTCAGCACCAAGGAAGTCAACAGCAGCAGCACCGACAAAGATGGAGAGGGAGAACACCCCTCAAAGATGGGGGTGCGAGGAGCGCCACGAGCAGCACCGACAGCTACAATGCTCTTTTCGGCCGCTAGCAGCTGCTCCTCTAGGAGGGCGACTGTGAGCTCAGTGGGACAGCGAGCAAGGAAGTGGTCTCGAACTGAGCTGAGGGTGTCAGGGAGACGGGTGACTATGAAGTGGAGTGTCCAGTACAGGGGAGGGGGGTTCTTAGCGCAGAACTCGGTGGGAAGGGCGGCACGAAGGCGAGCATCACTAGTGCGAAGGTGGGTGATAAGATCGGCGACTGTAGCAAAGGTGGACAGGTCAGGGAACAGGTACGGCAGCATGAGGCGGCTAAGCTCGGCTGTGGCAGGCGAGGAGTAGCGAGCAACGACAGCATCGTACAGGGCCTTAGCGGATTTGCAGTCGCCAAAATGCTCGAGCTCAGCTAACGGCAGGTGACTGCGAATGGCTAGGCGAGCAGCTGCGTCACGAGTCTGCCAGTGGGAACGAACACTAAGCTCAGCTGTGGCAGGAGGGGCAGGTGCAGCACCAGACGCGTAATCATAGAGCGACACATGCTCCTTGCTATCGCTCAGAAGGAACAGCTGCAGGTCATCTAGCCAGGTGGTGAACTGCACAGGGCGGCCCTCAGCATCGAACGACAGCACGCGGATGGAAGCCATAGTGACAGTGCGACTGAGTAGAGGAAGCTGCCGCAGCGCTGCAGGTAGGTAGCTCGGCGGGAAGCGCGGCGGGCGGGCGACTCGGCGAGCGGGCAGTGCGGGGGGGGGCGGGCTACGACGCGGGTAGCGCGGTGGGCAGGCGGTGCTGCAGGCGGGAGGTGCAGCGGGCGGGCTGCGAAGCGGGCAGCGGGGCGGGCGGGCGACGCGGCGAGCGGGCAGCGTGGCGGGCGTGCGACGCGGTGAGCGGGCAGCACGACGGGCGGGCTGCGAAGCGGGCAGCGGGCGGGCGACGACGCTGCTAGCGGGCAGCGGGGCGGGCGGGCGACGCGGCGAGCGGGCAGCGTGGCGGGCGGGCTGCGAAGCGGGCAGCGGGCGGGCGGGCGACGCTGCAAGCGGGCAGCGAGGCGGGCGGGCGACGCGGCGAGCGGGCAGCGCGGCGGGCGGGCTGCGAAGCGGGCGGGCGGGCGACGCTGCAAGCGGGCAGCGGGCGGGCGGGCGACGCTGCGAGCGGGCAGCGCGGCGGGCGGGCGACGCTGCAAGCGGGCAGCGGGCGGGCGGGCGGCGCTGCGAGCGGGCAGCGCGGCGGGCGGGCGACGCTGCGAAGCGGGCAGCGGGCGGGCGGGCGACGCTGCGAGCGGGCGGCTCGGCGGGCGGGCGACGCTGCGAGGGGCGCGCGAGGGCGCTAGCGAGGGGCGCGCGAGGGCGCTAGCGAGGGGCGCGCGAGGGCGCTAACGAGGGGCGCGCGAGGGCGCTAGCGAGGGGCGCGCGAGGGCGCTAACGAGGGGCGCGCGAGGGCGCTAGTGAGGGCGCGCGAGGGCGCTAACGAGGGCGCGCGAGGGCGCTAACGAGGGCGCACGAGGGCGCTAACGAGGGCGCACGAGGGCGCTACGAGGCTAGGGCACGGGGTAGCGTGGTAACCGCATGCGAGCGGTGGTGGGCCCTTAAAAAAAAACGGTCGGTAGGTCCTAGGGACCTCCTGCTCTGAATACCATGTTAAGAGAACTAGGCAAGAATGCTGCATTGAATGAAACAGTTGGGTACAAGTAGCAAACCCTAGTTGGGGTTGTACCCCATATTGGCTACCCCACTACAGCCTACCAACATATAACACATTACAATTTAACATCAAGACTTCGGACCGTGTGAAGTAACATTGAAATGCCACGTTGACATTTCGAGTTGCGTGGAATAACTTTGGATGGTGTCCCAACTTCGGAATACACAGCGTGAAAACACCATATAATCGTTACCGTACGCGTTGTAGGGCCCCATAAACGTTACTTTTCACATATATTTCCCGTACAACAATGCTTGGTTACATTTGAGCATGTTAGGACGCGTCTCCTGAAGCGGATCAGCCAAGGTTCGGCCGATCAGTACCGATTTTCACTTTGAGCCCTGGCTCAGCAGCGATTGATGTTGAGGAATGCAAAACTACAATTGTGGTTGCCACACAAATATACAGGTGATAGGATTGGGTGGACAGGTTTGGGGTCTGGTACACCGAACCTGCTACAACTCCTCTAGAGCCGTACGCGACGAACGAAAAGGTGTTGCATGCATGCGAACTGTGTAACCCGTTGTGTGCGACATCGTTCAATGACTTTACGATCAATATGGGCCCTCCCTATATCAATCAGGGGTTGTATATGTGACATGATTAAAAGGACATTTACATTCGTTAACATCTACGAAATCAGTTACCTAGTTGAATACGTTGCTACAGTGGTACACTTCATGCGCAAAACCGAACCTACAGCCGATCGATCCGCTTCAGAGGACGCGTCCTTATGTAACCTAGGACGAGACTTGTAACAAAGTTTTTCTATTCCTTACCAGGGTTGAGTACTACGCGTACAACCCTGACATTTCAGACTTCGCTCGTTCGGCCTAAACTTCCGATGCCGAGGCTGCCCCGCGTCGCCTTCGGCTTTCCGCTCGCCAAACCTGCACCCAACCTCGTTCTTCCGAGGATCCCACCTAGATAGGGTAATCACTATATAGTCGCGTGCCTTCATTGTACTGTCATTTCATTGAGTAAAATCTTCGTTATTCGTTCTTTTGCACACTCTCTTTTACATCTCATAGCACCCTGTATTAGAGCTACTTTCTTAGTTCACCCTGCTTTTCGAGGGTAGTTTGGGGGCACGGGTTTGCTGGTACAGGAGTCTGCAAAACGGTTGGCTGCAAGGTTCATTAATTCTAACTCGCCCGACTCCGATTGCTTTTGCTTTCTTCTTACCTGAAAGGACACGGACACCCCTCTGTCCTCTAGATGAAACGTGCGAGTCATGGACCAAGAGAAGCTAAATGAAATGCTGACACAAATGGCATCTTTGTGAAAGCGCTGTCAACGGAGGTCACATCACTAAGTGAAAAAAACAGCTAGCTAGGCCGAACATGAGGTGAAGCGTGTCAGGTGTCGCCCGATGAAGAAGATGACACCACCAGCCATAGAGCAAGTGGAGCCGTCACAAGTAGCGAGCCCGCACGAGGCAACGACGAGAGCGAATGGCCGGCAGCGTCGGCGCCAGTGACACTTGCAGTCACTAGAACCAAGATTAAACTCACGAGCCCGCCCCCGTTCAACCATAGCGACAAGACGATTACAATGAAGGGGTGGTTTCAGCGTGGAGTGGGGCGTAGCCTTAAGATTTCTCTTCGAGCACATATCCGCCTCGGAGCAAGCTCACATGAAGCTGCGTGCCTAGTAGTGGTTGGCATCTGTCCAAGACTACACAGCGTCATTCATGGCACTCGCCGACCAAGCGGATGATATGTTGGTAGCGGAGAGGTTGGATAAGTACACGAGTTATAGTACGAAGTGCGCGTATGGCGTCTGACATCGTTCTTGGAAGAAGCACAGTTGGCAAAATCCACGGACGCGCTGATGCAGCATGCGAGAACATGTTCTCGCGAGGGAAATCATTTTCGCGGCCAGGCCCAACGGGCCATGCACCGTTGAGTCCAAGCACCAGACCGCCCCTGCGGAGATAACTTTAGCAACAGGAGCTAGACTACGGGCTAGGCACGAGTGCTCGTGTGATCTCTGCGTTCGTTGGTCCTTAGTCGTTTTCCTAGTGCATACACTGCTTGCTAGTTCACAAGGCAATTTGGCAAGAGTTTCACTAGACAAAGTTGACAACAAATGATACAATGAAGTTGGCTAGGCAAGACTACATCAGAGCTAGGATGCAAGCAGGTCGACTGCCAGCGCAGCATGGTCGACCGCGTGCCAGCACGACTTGGTCAACCGCGCTCCAGCAGTGCAGGGACGCGGCTTGTCAACGCTGCTAGTCGACGGCATGACAACAGCGCAAGTCGACGGCGCGCCAGCGTTGCTCCTGCAGTCCAGCATTGCACCCGCTTCGCAGGTGCTCGTCGGTGATTGGCGTGCACTGCTTCGTCACCTGCACAGCGCACGCACCAAGCCCACCTCGTACTGACGGCTGCATCTCATCTGCCAGGTCGACCTCGGGATACCACCACCGAGGTCGTCCTCGCCAACCTCGCCTGGGCGACCTTCGCGTGCCTTCGCAGACCCTCGTCACCCAGGTAACATGGTCGACCGGGCAACCAGGTCGACCAGCTGCTCCTGTGCGTGCCCGTCGACCTCCCAAGTCGACGGCCACCTCCAGTCGACCTCACCAGGTCGACCACTACCCCTGGTCGACCAGCTCCAGGTCGACGTCACTCCTGGTCGACCAGCTCCTCGTCGACCAACATGTTTGGTCGACCACCAGGTCGACCTCACGCCTGGTCGACCAAACCACAAAGTCGACCAGAAGGCCTGGTCGACCAGCCAGGTCGACCAGAGGGCCTGGTCGACTAACCAGGTCGACCAGCAGCTCCATTAGCCGACCACCCAAGTCGGCTGCCCCAAGTTGGCGTCACCAAGTCGACGCCCTCCGTAGGTCGACTTCCCAGATCGACCACCTTCTAGAAGCTGGCGCCCTCCCGAAGTCGGCGCCCATGCAGTGGCTCCCCGTGCAGGTCGACCAACCCCGTCGACCAGCTCGCCCACTGCTACAGGTCGGCTGCACCCCTACACCCGACCACGAAGTCGGCTCCGCCCAAGCGAGGACGGGGCCAACACATAACTCCCGTTGACAGCCCCTACGCCGGGTTGTGTTCCAAGTGCGGGAAGCTGGGTCACAAATATGCGAACTGCCCTGACAGAACGCCTGCGAAGAAGAACGGCGGGAAAGATATGGCAAAGGGTTAAAGAAATATTTGAAAATATTCGTTGATAGAGGGGCCAGCCATAGCCTCTTCATCTTGGTGACAGCAAAAAAATTAAAGCTGCAACTTGACAAGTGCTTGCGACGTGGATGGGACGCCTATGGCGATTTTGGAAGCGACGGTGCGACGATTTCGAATGCGATGACGATTTCGGCTTCAGCATGAAGTTACTCGTGATGACGCTGGACGGCTGCGACGTGCTGCTGGGACGTGATTGGCTCCCAGAGCACAACCCCCGTCAACGGGATCGTGCAGCATCAACTAGCACGAGGGGCTAATAAAACTGCCTGCATGGACACCTGACTACATCCAAGCCCCGTGTGTCAAAGCCATCACTATTGTGCATCACTTCAACCGAGGCACGCAGTTGTTCGCTGTATGCTTGCACGAGTTGGCAATTGACACCGACGGAAAGGACTTTGAGAAGCTGTGCACAACCGCACTACTTGAGTTAGCGAAGTTGATTTGATAGCACCCGAATATTTTCCCCGATTATCTTCCACCTGGAATGCCACCCGAGAGACCCGAGGACCACAAAATCCAGCTGGAACCTGGCGCACAGGCAGCGGTTCGGACATAATGGCTGTTGACCCAGCCGGAACTCAAGGATCAGCGACGACAAATTGACGCACTGTTGGAGAAGGGGTTCATCAGACCCAATACATCTCCCTTTGCAGCGACAATCCTGTTCACACCAAAAAAGACGGCGCGTTTCGCATTTGCATCGAGTACCGCGCGCTCAACCGGATGTTAATCAA